GAATAAGGTGCATATTTTCTTGCAATTCTTGAGAGGATACCTCCATATTATACCTGTATAAAACATTAAAAAATTGAAACTAGACTCTCGAGCCAGTTGCGCTGTCAAAGAAATCTTTGCTCTGTCTCAAGCAAGAGAATCTTTTTGGAGATAAAATCCCGATTTGGTATACTGAGACTCCTGAATACATGTGTAATCATTGGCAAAATTAAATCCCCCTCTAGTGGCCGATCCACGTAGCTTTATAAAAGATTGTTGTTGGGTTGTAGGTGTCCTTGGGAGAGCTCTTTTTTGCACCAGAGTATGGTCAGGGTATGATTTTTCTTGATGCAGCTGCGTGGTTTGAGAAAAAAACATCCTTTGACCCAGGTGGCACAGTGAAAATACACTTTCCGTATTAAGGCAACAAAATGCAGATGGTCATTTGATGTGCTTTTGACAACTGCTGTTACATGCAGGCAGCTCCACAAATTGAGATTTTTTCAGTCTGGTCACCTTGATGTCTCTAACCTAAAGCCACCTGCCTTAAAACAGCTTCCTTCTGAGTATGGGGAGTAATAGATAGCCACTTAGTAATTGAGTTAAGTTGGACACACCTCTCTCAGACATAGAATTTCACTGAATTTCACTGAATTTCACTGAATTTCTAGAGTTGGAAGGGACCATAGAGATCATCTAGTCCAACTCCCTTGCTGAAGCAGGATTGCCTAGAGCTAGAGCATGTAAATCGTGCTTGCTTATTTCTCCACACAAATTGGAAGAAAATATTGGTGAAACACACTTATCTCCTACAGCTTCAAAGTGCAACAGAATGTCAAACGTACTGCTCGGCTTGGCTGCCGTTGTGGCTCGTTAGTTCTGAATAAAGGAATATTAGAATAAAGGAATATTAGAAGGCATTGGAAGACATCCAGTGGAAAATTGCAGGAATGTGCCTGAGACTACCTTGGAAGGAAGGCAGGGAAAATAGGCAGCAGCAACCTGCTCTAGTGGGAGGTGTCCCTGCCCAGGGCAGGGGGGTTGGAACTCCATGATCTTTAAGGTCCCTTCCAACCCAAACCATTCTCTGATTCCGTGATAATAGCAGGTGCTAATACTAAGTACCAGAATATTGTAGAAGTCAGTATTTTTGATTCATGCATTAGGACTACCATATAAATAGTCAGCCAGTACTGGCAGCTTTACCATATTTACCATCCTAACTTCTTTTTCTACATACATACATTCTAATAATGCTTATTCTTGCTTTTTAGTTTAACGATATTTTATTGTACACAAGTAGAGGCCTGACAGCATCAAATCAATTTAAAGTCCACGGGCATCTCCCGCTGTATGGCATGACAGTAAGTATTGTGAGAACGTAAGGAATTCGTGCTTAAATGGCCATTTGTGGTGCCATCTGAATTGCTTGATTAATTTCTGCTGGATTGGAAGCAGGAGCAGCAGGCTGTGCTCCAAATCAGGGAAGTTGTGGTTACATTCTGCAGGGTCTGATGGGGCTGTGTTGGGTTCAGCATGCAGCTTTCTACACAAAGGTGATTATAGAGCAAAAAGGGGGGGGCAGAGAGGGGAGAAGGCATTTTGCCTCATAATGCAAACTTCTCATGAGATGGGAGCTTTTTTTTTTTTCAGCCCATAAATTTAACCATGATTCTTAGAAGTAATTAATCACCAATTGCTTATAGACACACTGGGCAAGGCAAGTAAACCGTAGCAACAATCTGATTTCTATAAAAGAACATTTTCTAATGTTTTCCATTTTCTAGTAGAGCTAATTCTTCTGGAAAACAGCCAATTCGAGCCAACAGCACCTGGTTACCTCCTCTTCTTACACGATTTCAAAAATATTTTTGCTAGTTTCAAAACACTTTTCATTCCCCCATTATTTTCACTGGAACTTCTCGTGGGTTTGTATCTGTTCGTACTGTTTTCCTGAGAATTGGGTTAGGTAATCACTACCACAGTAACTGAATTTATCTGAACACCTGTGAAGCTTCAAGTTTTATTTAGTGCTTCTAGGAGTTATTGATTCTCATTTGGTGTGGACTTGTTCACAACAGAACCGTGTTATGCTACAGTGTCCAGAGCACTCCCAACCTTTAACATGTCTCTTCTGATAAAAATACCACTGTTTTCCTTTTTTTTTCCCACAAAGCAGATAAGCCATGCTTTTGGTTTGGGAGGTTATGGCAGAATGAACTTAGTGTTTTTCCAATGAGCAAGCTACCATTTTTTCTCTCAATGCCTAGCTCAAAATTGGTTTTTGTGAGCATTTGTCTTTGTTTTCTTTCCCCTGATGGTAAGAGCCTGTTCAGTTCACTGTTTCACCTTAAGAAACGTGTGCTTCCTGCAATCTCACTGCATTTGGGCTTTTGTCTCTCAGATAGAAGAAAGTGAGGAGGAATGGGGGGTTCCTCATTGTCTGACACTACGAGGTCAACACCAGTCCATCGTCGTTGCTGCAAGGTAATTCAGTGGAGACAACACGCAGGTGTAAACTGTATTTCTCTGCAGCTTTCACAATGGGACCGGTAAAAAAGCCAAGAGGCATCATTTTCTTTGGATTGGCTCCTAAAACAATTTCAAAGGTGTATTCTTTTGTGAATGCCAAAAAAAAAAGGGTGAATGGGATAAAATAGAGCGGCAGTTGTGCAAGTCAGAGCCAAAACTAAGTTATTAGGAAAACAGCCTAGCATCTTGTGTCTGAATTTGTTTATTTAAATTAAAAGTAAGCTCAACTTGTGACTATTTGTTAGAGTTTGCTTTTGGCCTGTATGGAAGGGAATAAAGCCTGAATTTTTGTTGCTAGTACCCGCGCTGAAATGGACAAATGGACTGAGGACATTCAGATGGCAGTAGACCTGGCTGAGAAGAGCAGTGGCCCTGCCCCAGAGTTACTGGCAAGCAGCCCACCTGACAATAGTAAGTAAATGCTCCAGTGTAGGCTTTATTCACTTCCATCAGTGTGATTGGTGATTGCTTCTAAGCAAAGTGGTGAAAAATGCTGGCCATGGGTCAAACTGATACATTTGAAGCTGATTTTTTTATATATATATATATATATTTATATATGTGCCATTTTAATGTTCTTGTTGATGTTAGCAGAAAGTTTCACTGAATAGAGAAGTGACTTAAGCATAATGATTCCAGGAACTATTTAACAAGATTGGGGCAGTGCCCGTCCTTGGAAGGTATTAAAAGCACCAGCAAAGCACAGTAGTTAGTCTTTGATTCTAACAACTTGCAGAAAAACGTGAAAAACGAAAAATCTGCTTAACATCTGCACAAAATGATTTTTCTAAAAGTGTGTTTTAAAATTAGTTCACAATATTGTGGACAGAGTTGATCTGTTTAATTTTTCCACTTATATATGTTGTCGCATAGAGGAAGAAAGATGCTTTTTCCCTGCATTTCATAGAGTCTCCTGATGAAACTACTGTAGACCAGGAATCTGAGGACGACCTCAGTGCATCCCGCACCTCACTCGAACGTCAGTCACCCCACCGTGGCAACACTACGGTGCACGTCTGCTGGCACAGAAATACCAGTGTTTCAATGATCGACTTTAGTATTGCTGTGGAGGTATCTGCCTCAGAACCATCTGAACTGCAGCTCCAGACTCGCTCTTGAATGACAATTTCCTTTTCGCTTCTCCTTAACACGTGGACCATTCCGTTGTCTCCTCCCGGGGAGGGTTCAGGCACACCTACTAAACTGGTAGCCTCAAATGATGGCATAAACCATCAGTCAAGAAACACGTGTCTGCTCCCTCGGCGCATCTTTGTGTAATCAGTTAGAGCAGTAATTTCCATAGAAGTAACTGTCCAAAAAAAACCAAAACGCTGATGCCCTTTAAAATTTAAAGCAGGTCAAACTGTCTTAATGCTTTCAGTTACAGAGGCATTAAGTCATTGCTCGAGCTGAAAGGATATTGTCTTTAGCTGCTGCAGCCAGAGTTTTAATTACGTGTATTACTAACGTACTTTCTTTACCTAGCCATCTTTTCTGGAACCTTGTCTCATTGCTCAGTCTCATCTGCTTTTTTTCTTTATTTGCATTTTCCACCTCCAAGGTAAACATCCTTTTTCCCCCAACCTCGATCACAGCTCAGCCAATTTTATGCACGTTAGTTAATTCTGCACTGGGCAGGCGAGGTGCAGACATTGGCTTTTCAAAGATGAAAGGCTTGGAGTTCAGTGTTGGTTTTAGGATAAGGTGGTGAGCCTGCTCAGGTGTTCGAGACCAGGCTGGATGGGGCTTTGAGCAACCTGCTTTAGTGGGAGGTGTCCCTGCCCATGGCACGGGGGTTGGAAGTAGATGATCTTTAAGATCCCTTCCAACCCAAACCATTCTATGATTCCTTTGCCCAAGAGAGCCTCCAGGGGAGCTCCGAGGGCTTTATCACAGTCCTCATGGAATGGAAATTTACACTCAGTGAAAATGGTAAAAGGAATCTTAGGGCTGAGTGGAATAGCATGCATGAGCAGCCCTTGAGATGGAAGGACAGACTGTATTCATAGTTTGTGTAACTGCCTCCGTTTAAAAAAAAACAGAAGGCCAGTTTGTGGCTGAAATATGACAAAGAAATTTATTCTGTACGGATGATCTTTAAGATCCCTTCCAACTCTTAATCATTTCATGATTCCTTCACCCAAGAGGGTGTCCAGGGGAGCTCTGAGTGCTTTATCACAGTCCTCATCGAATGGGAATTTACACTTAGTGAAAATGGTAAAAGGAATCTTACAGCTGAGTGGACTCGCATGCACAAGGCAGCCCTTGGGACATGAGGCCACCGTTGCTCTAGAGAAGCCATAGAGATGGAAGGACAGACTGTATTCATAGTTTGTGTAACTGCCTCCGTTTAAAAAAAAACAGAAGGCCAGTTTGTGGCTGAAAGAAATTTATTCTGTACATAGAGAAGCCATAGAGATGGAAGGACAGACTGTATTCATAGTTTGTGTAACTGCCTCCGTTTAAAAAAAAACAGAAGGCCAGTTTGTGGCTGAAAGAAATTTATTCTGTACAAGAAAACACTGACTGTAGAGCGTGGCTTCAATCCCACATGGGCTTGTGGGATCCCACATTTTCTGCTCTTTATACCCTTATATCCTGTAAGGGAGGAATAGTTCAGCTCAGAACAAGGTCTAGCATTTTTCCCTAAAGAGGAGGCCTTATTATAAATAGATACACAACTTATACCAGGGGCTAATTCTACCAGTTAAAACATTTAGTTAGGCAAATCTCTTGGTCTGAGATCAGTGCTCGTTGGTCCTAATTTTTGTTCCTCCCCGTGCCTCAAATGAATGCAAACAAAGCAGTGAAGACCAAGCACACCCTGGAGTCGTACCTTGTTCTGTGAAAACATCTCCAGCTCCACCCTTGTTCCATGCGTGGCAGGTTACGCTCATGCTCACGTCATTCTGTTGGTGCCTCTCACTTCAGCATTATCGTTTATTTTCTTTGTGTCTCTGAATGGGATAAAATAGAGCGGCAGTTGTGCAAGTCAGAGCCAAAACTAAGTTATTAGGAAAACAGCCTAGCATCTTGTGTCTGAATTTGTTTATTTAAATTAAAAGTAAGCTCAACTTGTGACTATTTGTTAGAGTTTGCTTTTGGCCTGTATGGAAGGGAATAAAGCCTGAATTTTTGTTGCTAGTACCCGCGCTGAAATGGACAAATGGACTGAGGACATTCAGATGGCAGTAGACCTGGCTGAGAAGAGCAGTGGCCCTGCCCCAGAGTTACTGGCAAGCAGCCCACCTGACAATAGTAAGTAAATGCTCCAGTGTAGGCTTTATTCACTTCCATCAGTGTGATTGGTGATTGCTTCTAAGCAAAGTGGTGAAAAATGCTGGCCATGGGTCAAACTGATACATTTGAAGCTGATTTTTTTATATATATATATATATATTTATATATGTGCCATTTTAATGTTCTTGTTGATGTTAGCAGAAAGTTTCACTGAATAGAGAAGTGACTTAAGCATAATGATTCCAGGAACTATTTAACAAGATTGGGGCAGTGCCCGTCCTTGGAAGGTATTAAAAGCACCAGCAAAGCACAGTAGTTAGTCTTTGATTCTAACAACTTGCAGAAAAACGTGAAAAACGAAAAATCTGCTTAACATCTGCACAAAATGATTTTTCTAAAAGTGTGTTTTAAAATTAGTTCACAATATTGTGGACAGAGTTGATCTGTTTAATTTTTCCACTTATATATGTTGTCGCATAGAGGAAGAAAGATGCTTTTTCCCTGCATTTCATAGAGTCTCCTGATGAAACTACTGTAGACCAGGAATCTGAGGACGACCTCAGTGCATCCCGCACCTCACTCGAACGTCAGTCACCCCACCGTGGCAACACTACGGTGCACGTCTGCTGGCACAGAAATACCAGTGTTTCAATGATCGACTTTAGTATTGCTGTGGAGGTATCTGCCTCAGAACCATCTGAACTGCAGCTCCAGACTCGCTCTTGAATGACAATTTCCTTTTCGCTTCTCCTTAACACGTGGACCATTCCGTTGTCTCCTCCCGGGGAGGGTTCAGGCACACCTACTAAACTGGTAGCCTCAAATGATGGCATAAACCATCAGTCAAGAAACACGTGTCTGCTCCCTCGGCGCATCTTTGTGTAATCAGTTAGAGCAGTAATTTCCATAGAAGTAACTGTCCAAAAAAAACCAAAACGCTGATGCCCTTTAAAATTTAAAGCAGGTCAAACTGTCTTAATGCTTTCAGTTACAGAGGCATTAAGTCATTGCTCGAGCTGAAAGGATATTGTCTTTAGCTGCTGCAGCCAGAGTTTTAATTACGTGTATTACTAACGTACTTTCTTTACCTAGCCATCTTTTCTGGAACCTTGTCTCATTGCTCAGTCTCATCTGCTTTTTTTCTTTATTTGCATTTTCCACCTCCAAGGTAAACATCCTTTTTCCCCCAACCTCGATCACAGCTCAGCCAATTTTATGCACGTTAGTTAATTCTGCACTGGGCAGGCGAGGTGCAGACATTGGCTTTTCAAAGATGAAAGGCTTGGAGTTCAGTGTTGGTTTTAGGATAAGGTGGTGAGCCTGCTCAGGTGTTCGAGACCAGGCTGGATGGGGCTTTGAGCAACCTGCTTTAGTGGGAGGTGTCCCTGCCCATGGCACGGGGGTTGGAAGTAGATGATCTTTAAGATCCCTTCCAACCCAAACCATTCTATGATTCCTTTGCCCAAGAGAGCCTCCAGGGGAGCTCCGAGGGCTTTATCACAGTCCTCATGGAATGGAAATTTACACTCAGTGAAAATGGTAAAAGGAATCTTAGGGCTGAGTGGAATAGCATGCATGAGCAGCCCTTGGACATGAGGCCACCGTTGCTCTAGAGAAGCCATAGAGATGGAAGGACAGACTATATTCACAGTTTGTGTAACTGCCTCTGTTTAACAAAAAAACAGAAGGCCAGTTTGTGGCTGAAAGAAATTTATTCTGTACAAGAAAACACTGACTGTAGAGCGTGGCTTCAATCCCACATGGGCTTGTGGGATCCCACATTTTCTGCTCTTTATACCCTTATATCCTGTAAGGGAGGAATAGTTCAGCTCAGAACAAGGTCTAGCATTTTTCCCTAAAGAGGAGGCCTTATTATAAATAGATACACAACTTATACCAGGGGCTAATTCTACCAGTTAAAACATTTAGTTAGGCAAATCTCTTGGTCTGAGATCAGTGCTCGTTGGTCCTAATTTTTGTTCCTCCCCGTGCCTCAAATGAATGCAAACAAAGCAGTGAAGACCAAGCACACCCTGGAGTCGTACCTTGTTCTGTGAAAACATCTCCAGCTCCACCCTTGTTCCATGCGTGGCAGGTTACGCTCATGCTCACGTCATTCTGTTGGTGCCTCTCACTTCAGCATTATCGTTTATTTTCTTTGTGTCTCTCCCTCCTTTCTGTCTCTCTCGTGGTAGAAGATCCTCTCTCTGTCAGTGACTGTACTTCCCTACCTGCTGGACTGATCAGTGATCAGCGGCCTGTTCCCATTTCATATGTCTGCTGGTACCGAATGCAAAGCCTGTCCTTTTATGATATCCTCCAGAGTAATGAGGTAACAGAAAATTAAGGAGTACACCTCTAACTTAGGGCAAGGAGGCAGCAGTCCAGATAGCAGAACGTGGGATGATGTAAAGCAAAGGCTTTAATGTCTATCCAAGACTGGTGAAAAAAAACCCAAAAAACAAACCCAACATTTTCAAGAACATGTAATTTGTAGCAGATAAATTGGGACCACCAGACCTTGAGTATTAAGCTTTACAGATTTAAGCTATTAGTGTCTGCATTATGTAAAGAGGACCATGTAAACAGCTGGTTTGATCCAGGTGAGAGCCCTTAGACTCAACAAGGAATGGGAAGTAATTAATGATGCGCTGAGACCTCCCCCTCATTTGCAAGGCACAGTGATGCTGGACTTTACATCTTCATGATGTGAAGAGCAGCTGAAAATAAGGTTAACGATCCTTGCTTCTCAAATCTTAAAAAAGTTACTGTGTGAACTCACTGGGTACTGAGAGCTCAATCTCTATCTGCAATTCCAAAGTATCTCATAATTTTTCTTTACATCACAAATTCATGTCAGACTTTCTGTTTCCATTACTCTATTTAAGTATCATTTAAAACTGACACAAACAGACTAGGGTAACAAGACTGACTGGTGCTTGGTAATACATTACTGAAGGCCACTTCAATTGAAAAAAAAAATATGTATAGTAGCTTAAAGCTTTGGAAGTACCCAGCTACAGACAAATATGTTATGTAAAGTACTATTTTAAGCAGTAGAAAAATGCAGAAGAAAAATATGTCCATTCAACCAAGATATTTTCACATGCCAGGTCATATACAACCAGATAAAAGCAGATAATTTTTCTTACGCTAATTAAACGTGCAGCTACCTTTCAGTGTTTCACTGGGCTACTTTGGATCTGTTGCAGAACCAGCTGTCTGGAAATCTCCTCCGAAAATTCAAAAACAGCAACGGGTGGCAGAAGCTTTGGGTGGTGTTCACCAACTTCTGTATGTTCTTCTATAAATCGCACCAGGTAACGGAGGGGCACCAGTGGGTGGGGGTGGCTGGAGAAGACCTTGTGTTTTTGTGAAAGCTGTAGCGGAGAGAAGAGTGGGCATTGGTCAGGGGTGCTGTAGGCGAGAGGAGCAGATGCACCAGTCACGGCTGCATTTACTGCTGCTGGAAGGTGGAGCAGAGCCTGCTCTCAATCTGCTGCTTTGAATGGTCCTAGTACGTGGCATCCCTAACAGTGCAGCGCATCCCACTGCCACTCAGAAATTGTGGTGTGACTTCAAACGAGAGTTTTCTCTCGTACAAATGCTGAGATTATTACAATTTAAAACTTAATACTGATTTCTACATTTTGCTTGCCGTTACTGACACTTAAGTCAAACACGAGAGAGCAGTGGCCAATGATTAATCCATCTCAGCAAACATCCCACTGCCAGAGCTGGGGCTTTTCTGTTTAGAATCTGTTGGACTTTTGGATCTCTGTGTTTGAGCAGGGTGTAAGCACAAAATAATTCCAGTTGCTACGTCGTGCTTTCATTGCTATAGAAATCCTTAAGGATGGAATTTCTGCATTAAAAAAAAATAATAAAATAATTAATTGTAGGATATTCTACCCGTAGGTGGGAGAAAGAAATGATTTGTTCATACACATCATGAAGTGAAAGGACTTAAGCAACAAATGCTGCAGGGTGGCCGGGACGTTTCTAAAGGAGCAGATGTTTGCAAGCCTGAGATGAACACGCCTCATGCTCTGCTGATGCCAAGTGATGGGGCTTTATGTTCCTCAGTTTGAAAGCAGTGAAAGTCCAAAATTTCAGACAACCTTCTTGTGAGAGAATACTGATAGGATCAGCTTGCAGCAGATCCTCATCAGAAGGATCCGTGAGGATCCAGAAGGATCCAGGCTGAAACTACCAGACAATTAAGATCATTGCCAGTGGAGAAAGCTGGTATTTTTTCCACGCACGTGTGGAAACACCGTGATGACCTTTAGATGAGAGTGTTATCTGTCTTCTGTTTCACTTCTGTGCTCTATTTACTTGAGGGCATTTGATGTCTCAGCATTTTCCATCCTTTCTTTTCAGGACAATCATCCTTTAGCCAGCCTTCCTTTATTGGGATACTCACTTACCATTCCTTCCGAATCTGAAAACATCCACAAAGATTATGTCTTCAAACTACATTTCAAATCCCACGTGTACTACTTCAGGGCTGAAAGCGAATACACGTTTGAAAGGTAAGCCCAGCTTCTGTGAGAGGGAATTTTGTAAAATTCCAGGAGTTTTTTTCCAAATGAGGTTAGTAGATGCGAAGCTTAGAAAATGGGTTCAATAAACACAGGCAAGTAGCTCAGCACAACTAGAGAAAGAACCCTTTAGAGTTTTAAAAGAAATTTTAAACCTGATAATGGTAGAACCAAGTGGTTGGTTTCGATAAGGTGGTAGCTGTAACTGTAATCACTACAAAACCTGGCTTATAGGCAGGAATTATCCAGTCAAAACGGATCAGATTGGCTGTACGGGGAGCTCTGTGTACCAGACTTTGGGAAGCATGGAAAGAGATCACAGGACTTTTCAGGAGCTCTTCAGAATAACTTCCCACCATCTAGTACAGCTGGATGGAAAACCCTCACCTGAAATAAAATTCTGATTTTTCACAGAAGGGGCTGTTCTTACTATGTATTTCTGCCACTTGGGCAAGTAATTTTTACACCTCCCACTGAGTTTCAGATAGATGGAGCACCAGGAAATGGGCTCTCGTCCTCCTAAATTGTGCTGGGAATTAATTTAGCTCTTAAATGAAGCATTAACGTGTCAAAAATCTTAATGTCCTCTCCTATTCAAGAAAGCTATTACTAAGTTTTAGCCATGTCAGTCTACAACTATAAATCGTGGGAAAGAGGTGATGAAATGAATGAGTAGAATTGGAAAAAACACAAAAGCCCTTTCTCAGTTCTAGGGAAAAGGAGCAGCAGCTGCAGCTAAATTACATTTTTTCACTCTAGAATCGAGTGGTTGGTCTCAACTGCTTATCACTTGGACCATCCAGGAAAAATGGGAAAAAAAAAAAAAAAAAGGGAGATTTGGCCACTACTAAGTTCAGGAATTTTGGGTGCTGTCCTCCCAGTTTATCTTCTCTAAATCTCTTTTCCTGTGAGCGTTTGGCCGTCGTTTGGGTCTAGAGCCTCTTGACTCCAGACAGGCTCAGGAGGGCACCGAAAATAAAACCCTGCACAAGTAGGAGGTTATTTTTCTGGAAATCTTTCCTTGTGGATTGACAGTTGTTTGGTTTGTGTCTCTCCCCGTGCCCCCTGGCAGGTGGATGGAAGTGATCCGAAGTGCCACCAGCTCCGCCTCACGCACCCGAGCGCTGAGCCATAAAGAGCCTCACGCCTATTGACGGCGCAACGAGCCGCCCCCTTGATTGTCCAGCAGCTGCTGATTTTCTAGAGGACATTGGAAACTCTTTTCTCCCTCCGAGTTTAGTAAAAACGTACAATTTGGTAAAAGAAAAGAAAAGAAAAAAAATAATTAAGGATGGTTTTGCAAAAACTTTCACAATTTCTTCAGCAAAACTGTTTAAGTTCTCCATGCGGTCAGACTAGCTTACCATCACCCCAGTGGCTGCGGTTCGTTTCATGTCTTGTATTTTGTCATTCTGTGCTGTTTTTAGCTTGTGCCAGTATTAAAATATTGTCCTTTATTAGAGTGCCAAATGCCAAAAGACATTTTGTTGCCTCAAAGATTGCACCTATTAAAAAAAAAAAAAAAGAAAAAAAAAAAGATGACTTCACAATCTGAAAACTCTCTCTCTCCTCTGAGGCAAACACTATTTCTTCTCTTTTCATAAAAATATATTATTTTTTTTTTACCATGTTAATCTGTAGACTGCTGGATTTTAAAATGTAGATGGACTTTCACAGTATAGAATATAATTATATATACAGCAAGCGGTCTAACAGGAATGAGATAACTTTCAGATTTCATTTTTTTCCCCCCAGTCTTTCTACATTTAATCAGCAAGGAATTACTAATTTTCTATCTTTAACAAGGAACCAGTTTACAGCTCATTCTCATTTCCCTTTGGGGTTACAAATCCATGTGGTATCAATAAAGTATAGGATTCTTATCTAACCATTTTCTTGGTGCAAGTTGACCAAATTGTTCATCTGTTGGCTTTGAAAAGTGAGTACTACTTGCAAGATGAAATTTTTTTAAAATAATCCAGTGCAATATTATTTGGGCTGTTAATGTACTGTGAATGGTTATGTACAAGAAGAAATTAAAGGCTGTGGTGACATTCTGCTGTTTGTTTTACAAACTTGAAAGAAAACCTGTACGTTACGAGAACCGCAGCTCTTGGTGATTAATTTGTAGAATCTTTTGGTAACTGAGTTGCTCCGAGCTGGGGGTGCTCAAGCCGCAGGTTTTCCTCCTGCCTGCTCCACATCCCTGCCTGAGTTTCAGTTCCCTGTTGGAATGTCAGTCTCTTCCCCAGAGAGAGGCAAATACAACCAGCAGTGGAAATACCTGTTTCCTATACACCTGGCTCTAACCTTAGCTGACACCCTGTTGTGGATAAGCTGTTGGCCCCCTCAGAAGGTTGGCAGCGCCTAAGGCTGTGATACTAAGATGCTTTTCCTTATGTTTTAAGAAACATTTCATCATAAGGGTGACCTAAAACTTCCATTATCCATATTCCATTAGAACTTCCAGTCAATGCCCATAAATACTTGAAAGGTGGGTGTCAAGAGGATGGGGCCAGTCTTTTTTCAGTGGTGCCCAGGGACAGGACAAGAGGAAATGGGCACAAACTTGAACATAATACGTTCCATCTGAACATGAGGAGGAACTTCTTTACCTTGAGGGTGGCAGAGCACTGGAACAGGCTGTAGAGCACTGGAACAGGCTGCCCAGAGAGGTGGTGGAGTCTCCATCTCTGGAGACATTCAAAACCCGCCTGGACATGTTCCTGTGCAACCTGCTCTAGGTGGACTTGCTTTGGCAGGTGTGTTTACTAGATGATCTCCAGAGGTCCCTTCCAACCCCATATCATTCTGTGATTAGCAAAACTCCAGTGTGCTAGAAACACATCTATATGGCTATTAAAGGCCTTTGAGGCACCGCAGTGGTAGGGAGAGGGGGCCTGAAGGGAGATAAGGGAAATGAAGCCCAGACAATTCTATCCCCACACCCACCCCCCCCATTTTTCTTCATTTAGCTGGTCACTTTAATGACTTACCTGTGCTCGATGTATAAAATGGCTCACAGCTTTACTCACACCAAAAAGGAATAAAATACCTCACAATGCTATCAGATATGTATTGCTGTTTCAAGACAGTAAAGCCTTCTTTCTATTCCCACCCCCCACCCCTAATGAAAATAGACATTTCTCTCCCTCCTTCCCTCTCCATCCAAGAAGAGGGTGGGCTCTAACCCCTTAGGATCAGCAACCACCCCCGTGGCCAAATGGGAGCCACCCTGTCAAAGGGGAGCAAGTATCTCAGGGTACGTCTTTCAGCTTTGTGGAAACCTTCAAACCCCCAGGCAAGGAACTGTTTGCAGTTGCCGTTTTCCATAGCTATTCCCCCCAAATATCAGCGGGGGTGTAATAATCACACCTACCCTCCAGCATCGCCTCTGGCCGTTTTTGACATGATGAAGGACAAACTTGGGAAAGCGGTAGGAAGAGCTGAAGAACTTTTTCCCCAGTCACAGGTCCCACTGGTCCCACTCCAAGCCTGTGACCTTGCTCTGTAGGGCCAGAGCAGGTGACTTCAACAATCATCTCAGTGACCAATTAATATATAGGAACCACAGTGCTTCAAGACCCACCAAGAACATTAACAGCAGCCTTTGCAGTGATGAGAAGGGGAAATAACTGGGCACAGAGGAAGAGCAATCCACAGCAGCCCACGGGCTGGGGAAAACAAAGCTGAAGAAGCAACACCACACCATGGTGCCATCACCAGATGCAGTGAAGGGCTACGGACTCTACCCTGTCCCCGTCCCTGCAAAAAATCATTACTGAGCTGTAAAATAGCATCTGCAAAACCTTACAAGCTCTGCTTCAGCCTCAGAACAGTGAGGAAACCCACACCAGCGTGTGATTTTTTTTTTCCTTTTTGATTTTTTTGGGGTTAACAGAACTGGTCAAACTGCTGTCATTTAAACAGAAGCACATTTGTCAGCATTTTTCTAGTGCTTTACCTCTAAAGACACCAGGTTAACCCAAAACTTAAATATAATGATAAGAGAATAAAAACAATTTGACAGTCATATATTAACAATCAGGTGAAGTCTGCACCTGTGAATAAAACTCGTGGTTTACTAGAAAGCTGTAATATAAAACCGTAGAACCACTTATTTTTAACCCTAATTTTTAATCCCATCCTGCTGCTGTCCCCCTGACCACGGGAGGGGTGGAGCCAGGCAGGGGCACTGTGTGCCAGGTTAGTAGCCAGGACTAAATACACTGGTCTCCTGTTTCAGCAGTGGGGAAAAAAAACACTCAAACCAGTCACTTCAAGAGATTTACTCTTGTTGTTATTACTCCCCATGAATAATCAGTTGCTGGCTTCAAATAACAAACAAATAAAAGCAAACCAAAAGCTTTATTGCCATAGGAAGGGATTAGCAGAGCCCAGACTCCTATGGATTTTTATCTCCACGGCCAAGCATCTCCATCATTTCTCTACTGTCTGACCATCTTTCATTAAGACATTGAGGCTTATTAATACACTCGGGCCTACCTCATTTCACGACATTTTAATTAAACCCAGTTGAGACCGCAAACCCCTTTGTAAATTAAGCTGAAACCAGCCCAAAGTGACAGCCTGAAAGACATAAGTGAGCCGGTTGGGAAACACACGCCGTGATTGCAGAACTCTCAATAAAAGTCTCTGACTAAGAAAAAAGAAGGAGGTCTCCCAAGGAAAACTGATTCCAGAAACAACCGGGGCAATATCCCACCGTTCCATCAGCCAAGAACAAAACAGAAACAAGCAGGACCTGAAAAATCCTGATTTTTACCTTTCTTTTTTTTCCTTTTTACACAGATCCAATTGTGTGGATCCAAAAAACCCAAAGCCAAACTAAACAGAAAACCACCCCCCAAGAAAAAAACCATTGAAAAATACACATCTAGCATAATTACGGCAGCAGCCAGCCAGCTCCTGCTGCTGGAACACACAAGTGCCCCCCTGCTTTTTTCCACAGGGGCAAGGAAAAGGTGCTGGAGGGAAAAGCCAAAATTGGCAGTGTGGCACATACACATTTTTTAACAAGAGAAAACAGTACTGGCATTGGAGGAGTGCAGCTGTCTGGAGTTTGTCACTGGTTACACGGGTACTTAGGGAGGCGATGGTTGGGGTGAAGCTCATGCCACGCGATGCGAGCGCCTCAGCAGCTTTGCTGGGCTGGCAGGATGGGGAGTAGGAAGCGGGTTTTAAATCGTTGCCATCTGGGAGTTGGCACGTTGTCTTACTGTAGGGCAAACCCTCAGGCAGAACCGCCCGTATTTAACCAAAACAGTACACTATCCATCACTGGTATGTGTAGATTTAAAAAAAAAAAACAAAAACACACCACAACCCTCTTAATCGAGAAAAGAGCTAAACTTCCCACATGATGAAGCCATCTGTGAGATAGACACTTACCCAGCTCCCCAGCAGAAAAATATCTTCTCAACATTCATGCTCAGAAAGTGGTGTTTGAGCCTGAACAAGAGTTGTACAAATTCTGAGGTAACAAACTCAAGACTGATTTATGAACTTTCTGCTTCTCGTTACGGACACGTGGGGAACCACTGAGCTACAAACCCAAAAGAGCATCCCCTCCTGGGAGGAGGAGGAAGAGGAGGAGACACACACCCCACCCCAAATCTCCTCTTACTGACCACTCGGATGGCAAAATTTCATTCAACTTTTCCTTCTTTATTTCTAGGTCATGTAGCTTACAAGGAGCGTTTATTACGTTGGCGGAGAGTGACAAAAGTAAAATTTAATACAGAGGTTATAAACAGGCAGCAATGTTACAGAAAACAAGGTATACGCTGGAATTGTCCTCTGTAATCATGCTTTAAAAGGCGGCAGAAAACCATTTTGTCTACTGCATATTGCCCCAGTGCGGTTACTGGCACGTCTGCAAAATAGAGTGAAAAAGAGCAAGCCTGCAGATTTGTGCTATGCTTTAAGCTCCTCCTGCAGTGACTTTTACAACACCACTTTGTGATTGTACTGCCCCTCACGTTACAGCCCTGCCCATCAGCGCTTCTGATTGATCGGCTGCCAACGCTGACGTTTTTTTGAAGGCAAAAATAGGTTTCCTTAAAATGGAAAAAACATCGCGAACTGGTACCGCGTTGTTTACAAAATAATACTAGGGAACGGCACACGGAGTAGGGAGAGCTCAAGGAGACGTTTCACCAGTAAAAGCCCGGGCAGATGAAGGAGTTACGGTGGATAAAGCAGAAGAACCTCGGGTGCCAAAGCGCAGGCTCTTACCTTCCCCCTCCGCCCACCACCTCCTCTGCAGTGAGGGCAGGGCACCACAGGGAAATCCTTCCACAGCAATTAGTTCCTCTGTCCGTGCCCATGTGGATGCACAGAAAGGGTCAGGAGCTGCAGAGGAACCGCGGGGCGTCAGGGAGAGGGTGGCTGTTACCGCACCCAAAGCCGCCGTCCTCCGGGGATCAACTACAAAGTGCAACTGCGAGGAAAATTAAGTTAAAAAAATAGATTACGCATCTGATATACTTACAAAAAGCAAGCCTTCAGTTCAAATGACTGATTTTATTTCTTTTAAAGTTTATTTACTGCCTAATCTCGAAATCCCTGACAAATAAGCAGTTCCGCTAATTTCAATGCTTGCATAAATAGGGATAGCTTTGTCGCTTGGTATATTCAAGACTGAGTGAAGAAGTACTACCTGCACAGAAAAGTCCTCAGTGCAACATTATAACACAGACATGTTTTTAGCATGAAACAACCTCTCAAAAATATCAATACACTACTTTTTCTTCTTCCAGAAACCAAGGCCGCGCTTCTTTCAAAGGAAGCCGCTCTTCCGTTCCCAATAGAGATCTGATTTTTAAAGCATCAATACTTTTCAATAGCAAATGACTGGAATTGTACATTCAAGATACAGCACATTTGTTTTTGTTTTTTTTTTTAGTGAATCTCAGTTTAAGATAATCTCTATTTAAATAATCTATATATTACATATAAAAATACACATCTCTACCATAAATGAGGTCTTGTCTTTTCCTAAGTGTCCTAGCCTTTTGGCCAACTGCCCTTGCTGTAGGTCTGACTCGTCTTAAGCTCCTAAACCAAGGGACACATTCCCCA